TTTTACTGCCTGCCAGATAGATGCTATGCTAAGTGCTTCACACGGCCATCTCATTTGATTCTCACAACAGAATTAGAAGGTTGATACTAATACCCTCATTTTACAAATGAGAAAAGTAAAGTTTAAGTAATTAGCTCAGATAACAGCTCTGTGTGTGTGTGTGTGTGTGTGTGTGTGTATTCAAGACTCGGAGGGGAGGCAAGGGTTAGAATAAGATTATTTGACTCAGAAGAGTCGGAAATGTCTGTGATTACAGATTTCTCCCAGTTAGGTGATGTCCTTCAAAACCCATCTTTTACCTGTCCTTTAAAAGTGAATGTTTCCTCCCCTATGGGCACAAATGCAACTGCTCCTACCATTTGTTCCCTGACTTACAATGTGAGTAAATACAACTCACATTATCCAGACCCTTCCTGGGGCAAGATGGGTTCACCAGACCAAATTAGGTTGATCATAGCCATCCTTCCTACCTAAAACATGCCTTTATATCTCCAAGTTCTTGGCATTTGTCCATCTGTACACTCTTCTAAGTAGAGATAAGTATAAAAGGCATTGATACTGACTTATGGAATAATTTTTTTGAATTCTGTAGTGTACATATTCTTAATATGTGTGAGGCTAAGGCAAGTTTTGCCCTCTGTCTTGGAATCATGTGATGTAGATTCGCCTGCAGACTTCTGATCTATTTCTATAGCCTAGACCCTGTTCTCCTCTACCTTCTGCCCATAGGTCATTTCAAACCAGGGCAGAGAGTAAAGAACCTCTCCCTTGGGATCAGGGGTCACAGCTGTATCCTTAGAGAACAACAGTTGGCCTTTCCTTTCTCAGTGGGCTTCTAGACCTGAAGGTTGCTTTGCTTTTCTTTCTCTGAGCAGAGCCTCTGGCCTTGACCCATTTTCTGCTAAACTCTGTATTTGCTGAGTGTATGGAGAAGTGCACACACTCCCAGCTCAGTCCAATCTTCCAACTTTGCCCCTGAAGTGAATCAAAGGGCATGACTTTTAGCCACCTAAGAGAAATGTTTTAATAAAATATCTCCAGAAAATCAAATTTAAAGTCATCTACAGTCTGCTACTTGTCATTTTGCCTTATTGTGGGTAGAGTACATTCATTTTTCACAGTAGATGAATCATAAGTTAAAAATCATTTAAAAGACTTTAGCCATGAAAATTCCTGCAGCATGTGCAGAACTAAGATTAAATTTAAGGCAATAATAATTCCCTGCCAGGAGAAAATGAATATATATTCATCAAGGTACTTCAATTGAAAAGTAATTGAGTCACCATTTCTATTCATATTACCATCTGAACACTGTTAAACTAAATTAAAAACTATGGGATTGTAAAATGGTTTTTTGAAAAGTCTATTTTCATTGTCACTCTTGAATATAAGCCTTTGCATCTAAAATAAGTTGCTCTCTCAAAAGTAGGAAAGTACTGAATTTATGAAAACATGATACCATTTTTGTTGTTGAATAGAGGTACTATATCCTGTCCTTAGATTTTAACTAGAAAATTTGGGGAATGGAATTTTTTTCAATATTTCTTTCAAAACAAACCCAAG